GAGCTCTGCACCGACCCTGTTTGCTGACAACAGGGCGATGATTCTCCTGTGTCGTGAGCCTCGACTGGAGAGCCGAGTGAAGCACATCGACGTCAGGTACTTCCTCCTTCGAGAGTTGCTAGAGACGCGGACAGGCTCGTCTGGACTTTGTGGCCTCCGAGGCCAACACTGCAGACATCTTCACCAAGGCCCTCCAGCCTTGTGACCACCGTCGGTTTTGTCTGCAGTTAGGCCTCGTTGAGACTGGGTCTAGTTGACTGCTGTAGGGTGCTCTTTGTCTGTTGCTTGCTTGTACCTTATATATATATATATTTGTTTGCACACTTTTGGACTGGCCTTGTGGCCCTTTGCTAGTGCTCAGATTAGGTGGTGACGTTGTGATCCACCCTGAGCTTTGTTTTCTTTCTCTTGTTTTTGACTGGTCTTGTGACCGTAGGTTGCTTGTTGTTGATTGGCCTTCCCCACTTAGGCTATGGGGGTGTGTCAAATATTATAGCCTGTAGTGTGTTGGGCCATATGGGGTACAACTAGTTAGGGTTAGGTGATGTACCCCAATTCTGTCAACACAACGCATTCCGCTGTAGTTCTCATTTTGACACGAGTGGGCTCTCCCTCACTCGCAATCGCTTATGTGTACATGTGCACTGCTTATACCCCGTAAGGAATGACGATTCAGTCCGTTGAGTAATCTTTGATGCATCCCCTGTTTCGCTATGCCTTCGCTGCATACCTACCGTACCAACCAACCCAACCCAACCCAACCCAACCCACCCAAGCAGTGGAAACGACGGAGACCAAATTCAAATAGTAAAGAATGAATAGAATGGATTAGGGTGCATGGCTGCAGCCAGCAGAAGAGTCAGCTTGTAACAAGTGCGTATCTAAAGCTAAGACTGCAACCTAACTATACAGCCCCATGCGTGAACAACCACAGGGGAAGGAGGGGAGAGGAAGAAGGGAACCTTTATTACAAGGAGCGCTTGCTTCCTTGAGAAGTGGGGCAGGGGAGAAGGACCTCTGAGGCGCCTGAACTATTGGCAGGCAGAAAAGTGGTGGAGGGAGGGATGAGGCATAGCTATGCGTTTGTTGGTGGTGACAAGTTGCAAGTTGGGAGGAAGAAGGGGTGGAGAGAGAGAGGGAGGGACTAGGCGTTGATGTTGTGGCTGTCAGTGGTGGCAACAGCAGCTGGAGCTGCAGCAGCTGCAGTCACAGCAGCAGCAGCAGCAGCAGCAGCAGCAGCAGCAGCAGCAGAGGAAGCGGCAGGATGTTGCTTATGGGTGGAATCAAAAGCAGCAGAGGTGGTGGCGGGAGACAGAACAGAGCTGGACCAAAAAGGGGGCGTCAAGGGTCGCTGATAAACCAACCCCTTGCCTGCTGCTGCCATGCCCCCTGCACCAGCACCAGCACCAGCAGCAGCACCAGCCGCAGCGGCAGCCGCAGAAGCCGCGGCAGCCACAGCAGCAGCATTTGAACTAGACGAGCCAACCGACAGCGACGAGGGGACAAAGGGCGCGACCGATACAGTGTGACTATCAATAGACATTCTACCTGGGCTAGGCGCCTCCCACTTGCTGCTGTTTGACCAAGTCAACGCCCAGGACTGGTCTGACTGCGCGCTGGGACTGCTAGCAGAGAATCCTGAGAAGCCTTCATAGTCGGAGGTGGAGAGAGGGAAGGGGGATGGGGCCGAGGTGGAGGCGGTGGGGGTTGCTGCTGCTGAGAGGTTTGGGTGCAGAGAGCCTGCTGTTGCTCCTGACGAGGAACTCAGGGACGAGCCTGTGCTTGGCCTTCTTGCTCCTCCTGCTGCTCCTCCTGTTGCTGCTCCTCCTGCTGCTCCTCCTGTTGCTCCTCCTGCTCCACCTGCTCCGCCTTCTCTTCCTTCTTGTCTTCTGCTTCCCCTGCTGCCCCCGTCACCATCACTCTCTGCACCGCCACCACTCCCACCATGATCAGCACCACTCGTACCACCACCAGCGCCACCACCGCCACCAGAACCACCACCAACACCCCCACCACCACCACCACCAGACGCAGCAGCAGCAGCAGCAGCGCCGCCAGCGGCAGCAGTGCGGGCGAGAAAGGCCTGCTCCCTCAAGAGGTGGGCGTGGATGTGGCGGTCCTCTGAGAGGCGCAGCAGCGCCTCCTCCGCCAGCAGCGTGGCGTGCCGGTTGCGCTCCCCCAGTGCTGCTAATGCTAGTAGGGATTGGAGACCTCCCAATGCCATCACCTGCGGGAGGGGGGGTGGCGAGAGGGAGGAGGGGGGGTTGGGGTGAGAGGGAGAGAGAAAAGACTTTCACTAGTAGCAGTGACAGCGCCAGGAGCAACTGCAGACAACGCAACGCCATCATATGGGAGGAGAGGGGGGGGGGGGGGGGGGGGGGAAATAATCGACCACATCCCCTCCTCAATTATCACCCCGTTCAGAATCACCCCATCGCCCAGCAGGCTCTGCAGCCGCCCAGCCGACTGAGCCATGGCGCGACTGACTGCGTGACCCTCCTACTCACACTCCCCACACACAAACCCCTGTCCCCCACACACCTGTCGCTTGTTCTCGCAGTGAATGGCCAGGTACCAGAAGGCGCGGGCCGCCAGCCTCTGCACCTCGTGGTGGTGCGATTGGGCCATGGCGATAATCGACCACAGCCCCTCTTCCCGGATCACGCCGTTCAGAATCACCCCGTCGCCCAGCAGGCTCTGCAGCGCACTCGCCGCCACCTCCTGTATCTGCGCCTCGGCGGCACACGATGCGTTGCACAAGAGACGAAGCCCGCCCTCCACGGCGATTTGTAGTCTCAGCTCGGGGTTGCGGCAGAGGGCGGCGAGCGCGGCAATGGCAGCTTCCAGGATGTTTCCCGCCTCCATGGCGCAGATCTCTAGGACCTCCTTGAGACCCCCTCTTTGAAGCATCTGATTGGTGGAAGGGAGAAGAAAAGGAAACAAAAGAAGGGAAGGAGGGGGGGCGAGCGGACGAGGGGAGCAGGGAAAGAATTTGGGGGGGGGAAGGGGGTGGGAGAGGGGGAGTGCTTGAAGATGGGGAGTCATTGCGATTGAAGGCCGCCCTCCTGCACACCTTCAGTTCAACACCCACCCCCACATTCTCTCATTCCTTCTCCACACTCCCTCTTCCCCTCCCCTCCTCTCCGCACGCACAGACAAACACACACATCTCTCTCCTCCCTCACTGTCAAGCCTCCCCAACTCACCTCCTCTTGGCTGCTGGTCTCCACGCACACAGCAGCCAGCGCCCTCAGAGCCATCTCTCTGAGCTCCTCACATGCACCCCACCTGCCCGGCTCACCTCCTCCTGGCTGCTGGTCTCCACGCACACAGCAGCCAGCGCCCTCAGAGCCATCTCTCTCAGCTCCACCGTGAAATGCTCCCCTGCTCGCACCAGCGGCAGCAGCAGCACTCACCCACACATACATGCATGCATAACACACATACACAGCAACACAGGGCTCACCTCCTCTTGGCTGCTCGTCTCCACGCACACAGCAGCCAGCGCTCTTAGCGCCATCTCCCTCAGCTCCACCGTGAAGTGCTCCCCCGCCCACACCAGCGGCAGCAGACACTCTCCCACACCCGCTCCCCGCCCCTCTTGTTGACGCACACAAGCTCACACACAGACGACCAACGACTCACCTCCTCTTGGCTGCTGGTCTCCACGCACACAGCAGCCAGCGCTCTGAGCGCCATCTCTCTGAGCTCCACCGTGAAGTGCTCCCCTGCTCGCACCAGCGGCAGCAGGCGTGGCAGCACGTCCCGGGCCAGGGCAGGAAGGCGGTGGCGCTTCAACCCACACAGGCGCCACAACGCCTCACATGCCAGTGCCTGGGTTTCGACTGCCTGCTTGGACAGGGGGGGAACAGAAGGGGAAGAGAGCGGCAAGAAAGGGCAAGAATGGGGCGAGCGAAAGGAGAGAAGGGGGAGGGAGGGACAAGGGAGAGGAAGAGGGGCAAGGGACAAGGAGGGGGCAAGAGAGGGGCAGGGGGAAGGGCACGGGAAGAAAAAGCGTGGTCGCAAGGCGAAAGCGGAGCAAGGGAAGGGAAAGGGAGCAAGGTGAGGTGAGGTAAGCTGAGGTGAGCTGAGGTGCAGTGCGGTGATGCACAGTACAGTGAGGTGAGCACACTTCATACCTGCAGCGAGTTGTCGCTCATGACGAGGAGGTCGACCAATGAGAGCACACCAGCTGTACTGAACTCCTCCACCACCTCCGGCAGCACGGAGAGCTTCGCGATCGCATCCACTGCCGCCTTGGTGCCCTGCCATGAGGGGTGGGGGGATGGGGGGATGGTGGGGACGGGTGGAGGGAGGAAAAAGGGGAGGAGATCAGGGAATCGGCACAGATGTATTGCACTACCTCCGGCAGCACTGAGAGCTTCGCAATGGCATCCACTGCCGCCTTGGTGCCCTGCCATGGGAGAGAGGAGGGGAAGGAGGGGGAGGGAAAGCGGAGGGAAAGCGGAGAGGAAATGACTCTTGAGTTGAGGAAAGCAGGGGAACGCCCCTCCACCACCTCCGGCAGCACTGAGAGCTTCGCAATGGCATCCACTGCTGCCTTGGTGCCCTGATTGTGGGGTAAGACGGTGGGAGGGGGGGAAGATAGGGACGGGGGAAGGGGAAGAGGGGGGGAGCACCAGCATTGAGAGCTTGGCAATGGCATCGCGTATTCAGAATCTGGTGAGCTCACTCACTTGACGTTACTTTCAAGAATTCTCACAACATAGCTCACACGCTCGTATCCTCCCACAGCACAGCATGTTCAGTGAGCTCACTCTCTCACTCACTCACCCACTAACTCACTCCCTCACCCACTCACCCACTCACTCACTCACTCACTCACTCAGTCACCCACTCAATCACCCACTCACCCACTCACTCTCTCACCCACCCACCCACCCGCTCTCACTCACTCTCTCACCCACCCACCCACCCACTCACTCACTCACTCACCCACTCACTCACTCACTCACTCACCCACCCACCCACTCACTCACCCGGTCGTATCCGCCCACGATCGCTGCCTCGATGGGCTCTAGAAAGCCCGCAGAATAGACGAATTGCCGGTTGGCGTCTGGCTTGCAGAGGGCGGCAACCGCCCGCATGGCGGCCGCCCGCTGGTCGGCATGCTTGGAGTGAGCGAGAGGCATGAGAGGAAGCATATACTTGGCACTCGAGATTTGAAGCATGTCTGACGGGGGATTGAGTGGGGGGGGGGGAGGGGAGGTTGAGGGAGTGGGGGAGTGGGGGAGGGGTCGGGGGGGACTTGAGAGAGAGGGAGAGAGAAAGAGTGATGGAGTGGGCGAGAGGCATGAAGGGCAGCATATACTTGGCACTCGAGATTTGAAGCATGTCTGATGTGGGAAGAAGTGGGAACGACAGGGAAAAGGAGGGAGGAAGGCGAAAGAACGAAGGTGAGGATGTAAATTTGAGATGAGTGTTTTTTAGGCGCCTCAGAAGTTATTTTGAGGCGCCTCAAAAGAAGGGAGGAAGGCAAAATAAAGAAGGTGAGGATGTAAATCTGAGATGAGTGGGAGGGGTGAGAGGGCTACCACGAGGGGGACTCCCTCTTCCTTTGTAAGTTTCACTTTCAGTTTTCCTTGCTTTTGTTTTCGGATTCAAACTACTATGTTGTGTGCTCCCTCTTTTAGTGCAGGATCGGGGGGAGCGGGAGTCAACGGTGGAGGCGGGACTTGAAGCTACCACAAGTGCCCCCGATCCTGCACTAAAAGAGGAAGCATACAACATAGTAGTTAGAATCTGAAAAAAAGGCAAAGGAAAACTGAAACTGAAACTTACAAAGAAAGAGGGAGTCCCTTGTGATAGCTTGAAGACATGAGACGTTGACAAAGACAGGGGGGGGGCTACACCCACATGGATGTAGCAGCATACATACATGGATGTAGCAGCATACATACATGGATGTAGCAGCATACATACATGGATGTAGCAGCATACATACATGCCTCTCTATACCTAGCTGTGGCAAGGTTGTAGCAGTAGCATACCTGCTTCTCTGTACATGGCTGTGTTTTCCAGCCACTCGAGCCCAAACTCCTGCCCCTCCCTGTCCTTCTCGCCCCCTGCCACCTGCGCGATGGCACGGTAAACCGACCGGTCTGGCAGCGCCAGCTCCACTAGAGGGTTCAGCGCTCCCATCAGAATGGTCTTGTAGCTGGTGGTGTGGGGGGGAAGGGTGGGGAAAAGAGACGGGGAGGTGGTGTTGGATGTCTCACATTGCCTCACAACACCGCGCCACAGTGCCACCTGTGCTATGGCACGATGCACCGACCGGTCTGGCAGTGCCAGCTCCACTAGAGGGTTCAGTGGTCCCATCAGAATGGTCTTGTAGCTGGTGGGGTGGGGGGGAATGAGGACGAGAGAGGGGAGGTGGTGTGGGTTGCGTCTCAAAGCCTCCCCAACACCTGCAACGGTGCCACCTGTGCTATGGCGCGATACACCGACCGGTCTGGCAGCGCCAACTCCACCAGCGGGTTCAGTGCTCCCATCAGAACGGTTTTGTAGCTGGTGGGGGGGGGGGGGGGGGGGGGGGGGGGGGGGGAGAAAAGGGGGAAGAGTGACGGGGAGATGGTGTTGGTTGCATCACAGTGCGTCACAACATCTTGCCACCTGTGCTATGGCGCGATGCACCGACCGGTCTGGCAGCGCCAGCTCCACCAACGGGTTCAGCGCTCTCATCAGAATAGTCTTGTAGCTGGTGGGGGGTGGGAGGAATGGGGTGGGGGGGGAGGAAGGGAGGGGGGTAGAGGATGGGAAACGAGAGAAAGGGGACAGGAGGGGTTGGCATAGTGTTGGCCACTCCACGACCCGTCACAACCGAACACTTCTCCCCCACCACCATGCCACTTGACAACAACCCACCCCCCTCTGGTGCTCCCTCCCCACCCTTCCCCCCCAATCACCGCACATACCCGCGTCGGGATTTCAACTTTGTGTCGAGGTGGGAGCGGTGGGTGGAGACGCGGTTGAGCGTGGAGAGTGACTGCACCACAATGTGTGAGTCCACCGTGGACTGGCGGAAGAGCGATGGCAGCCGCATGGCGCGCGATGCTGTGCGCACGTATCTGATTGGGTGAAGGGAAGGGATGGAGGAGGGGTGGGGGAAGGGGGATAGGAAAACATGGTTGAGCATGGAGAGCGACTGCACCACGATGTGTGAATCCACTGTTGACTGGCGGAAGAGTGATGGCAGCCGCATGGCTAAAGATGCCGCATGGCTTAAGATGCCGCATGGCTTAAGATGCCGTGCGCACGTATCTGAGGGGAGGGGAGAGGAGGGGAGGGGAGGGGAGAGGAGGGGAGGGGAGGGGCGAGGAGGGGAGGGGAGGGGAGAGGAGGGGAGGGGAGGGGAGGGGAGGGGAGGGGAGAGGAGGGGAGGGGGGAGGAGAGGGGAGGGGAGGGGAGGGGAGAGGAGGGGAGGGGGGAGGAGAGGGGAGGGGAGGGTGGAGATGCATGAGATGACTTCAAGCAATGGCAGCCGCATGGCCCATGATTTCTGATTGGGCACAGTGCAGCGGAGGGAGGGAGGAGGGGGACGAGGCTCATAAGGGGCCATGATATGGAATGGATGGCGCACTATGGCCCCATCCCCCCCACCAGTGGGTAAAACCCCTCCCACACCCCCTTGTGCACCCCACCCTATCCCCGCCCTCACCTGTGGATGACGCGCACCCCCTTGTGCACCCCCCCCTCCCGCCCTCACCTGTGGATGACGCGCACTTCCTTGCGCAGCTGGCACGGGTGCGGTGCCGTGAAGAGCTGAAAAGAAACCCACCACGGTCTGCAACCCCACTTGTCAGTAACATCCCCCCAATTTCACCTGTGAATGACGCGCACTTCCTTGCGCAGCTGGCGCGGGTGCGGCGCGGTGAAGAGCTGCTTGGGCGTGCGGCCGAACTCCCTCATCTGCACTGTCAGCGCCTGCTGCACTGTGTCGTCCTCCACTGATGCCAGCACCTGGTGGTGGGTGAGTAGGGGAGGGGAGGCAGCGGAGGGCATAGAGGAGGGGGAATAAGTGGGGGAGCAGAGACGGGAGGAAGTGGCGGAGGAGGCAAGAACGGATGCAGTGGAGGAGGAGTATGGGAGGAGGTGGGGAGGAGGTAAGGGGAGCTGGAGTTCTACATGCAACGGACAGCAGTTCTACACTATGGCCCTGACGCAATTCATATAGTAAAACGAGTGGTTTATATAGAGTACGCACCTGAGCCCCAATGTCATCGTAGGTGAGGGGGTGAAAGACATTGTCTGCCTCTATTGCCGCCTCGCCCCTCTGCTTGCAGCCAAACACCAGGTTGATCCAATGGTGCAGCCTTTTTGACACATAGCTGATGTGGGAAAGGAAGGGTTGGGGAGGGAGGGGATGGGAGGTGGAGACGGGGAAGGAGGGTTGAGAGAGTGGAGGGGAGTGGGGCATGAGATGTTGCTAGCATAGCAGGGCAGCCAAACACCAGGTTAATCCAATGGTGCAGCCTCTTTGATACATAGCTGGTGAGGCCAAGGAAGGGGAAGGAGAATGGGGAAAGGGTGGTGGGGAAAGGAGAAAAAGAAGGACAGTGGCGCCCGAAACTTTCCTTGCAGCAAACGCCAGATTGGGATGTGACACGTTCAAGGGAGCGCCGGCCATGGAATTGGAAAGGAGAAACAACATTTAAAACCATACAAAAAATATTGGAAGGAGACAAACAAGGAGAGGGCTTACGGGCATTCCAGCACTTGGCACATCTTGGCAGCAAAGTCATGGGCGTCGGTGGCCCAGGGAGGCAGCACCACATCCCCCACCGGCAAACCCAGTGAAGATTGCAACCAGACACACGGCTTACAGACCAGGGGACTTAGAGACAGAGAGGGGGCCTCACGGGCATTCCAGCGCTTGGCGCATCTTGGCAGCAAAGTCATGGGCGTCGGTGGCCCAGGGAGGCAGCACCACATCCCCCACCGGCAAACCCAGTGAAGATTGCAACCAGACACATGGCTTACAGACCAGGGGACTTAGAGACAGAGAGGGGGCCTCACGGGCATTCCAGCGCTTGGCGCATCTTGGCAGCAAAGTCATGGGCGTCTGTGGCCCAGGGCGGCAGCACCACATCCCCCACGGGCACCCCGTCCTGCTTGACGCCTAAGTCCAGCCCTTGTGAGTTGAGCAGGAAGGACGTGGAGAGAGAGTAGAACTCCTGTGGCATGGGGAGGAGGGCGGGGAGGGGGAGTGAGAGGGTTTTCAAGTGAGCTTAACACCATTTCCGTCCGCTGTGAGTTGAGCAGGAAGGGCATGGAGAGGGGAAATCTTGTGGGTTTTTAAGGGCTCAACACCATTTTCCTGGCAAGAAGCAGAAAGCGGATGAAGCAGACCAGGGAGGAGTGAAAAAACTTGTGGCATGCGTGCTTGTGCCGGCACTGAGTTGAATTTTGAGGCGCCTCAGAATTCAACTCAATGCAGGAGTAAAAATCTTGTGGCATGCATGCTTGTGCCAGCACCATGGTGCAGCATAATGAGTGCAAGAAGAAGTGAGAGTGCTTACTGGAATAAGCTCCTTGAGGTCGGATGGGTTGTTGTATGCCCCCTCCCACATCTGATCACACACACATGCCATGCACGCATGCCATTGACACACACACACATGCCATGCACGCACAGATGAACACACACACACATCCACACATTTTTCCACACAATCACAAACACAAAGGTAAAAGCTTCTTGAGGTCATGTGGGTTGCATGCACACACATCACTGCCTCTTCCCCTCCTCCCCGTTTTCCCCCCTCTCCCCCCTCCCTCCTCCCCGTTTTCCCCCCTCTCCCCCCTCCCTCCTCGTTTTCCCCTCTTCCCCCGTTTTCCCCGCCTCCCACCCCCTCCTTCCTCCTCCCTCCTCCCACCACCAACTCCCCCCTCTCACCTCGGGGATGGAAGAGAGGAGGCGATCAGGCATGTCGAATCTTCCATTTTGGAGGCGCAGCATGAGCTGGGGGGCGTCGCGCACGCGCACATACACCACGTAGCCGGGCGTGGAGTAGTGGCACCCATACAGGAACGCCGGGGACGGCGTGCCCGGCACATGCGGCGGCACCTCGCCTTCCGGGAAGTTTCCCGCCCAGTCCTCGTAGAGCTCTGCTAGATCGTCGTAGCGCTGCCGAAACTTCTCCAGGCGGTCGGGATTGAGTGCGCCCACGGGCTGACAGAGGGTTGAGAATGGATGTGCCAAGGGGTGAAAAGGGGTTCAAAAGGGTGATTAGGTGCTCCTAGAGCTCTGCCAGGTCGTCGTAGCGCTGCCGGAACTGCTCCAGGCGGTCGCGGTTCAACGCTCCCACGGGCTGAAAAGGGGTGTGGAAAGGGGTAAAAGGGTGTTTCAAAGAGTGAAAAGGGGTTCAGATGGTTTTGCCAAGTACTATTAGCGCTGGCGGAACTTCTCCAGGCGGTCGGGGTTGGGCGCTTCCACGGGCTGACAGTGGGGTACAGAGGGATATGCAAAGGGGTGAATGGGGGTTTGAAGCGGTGGAAGGGGTTTCACAAGACAACATCTTGTAGCATGCACTCTCCTGACTACCTTTTCCAGCTGGCACACTTCTCACCTGCCCCATCTTTCACCCACCCCATCTTTCACCCGCCCCATCTTTCACCCGCCCCATCTTTCACCCGCCCCATCTTTCACCCGCCCCATCTTTCACCCGCCCCATCTTTCACCCGCCCCATCTTTCACCCGCCCCATCTTTCACCCGCCCCATCTTTCACCCGCCCCATCTTTCACCCGCCCCATCTTTCACCCGCCCCATCTTTCACCCGCCCCATCTTTCACCCACCCCATCTTTCACCCGCCCCATCTTTCACCCGCCCCATCTTTCACCCGCCCCATCTTTCACCCACCCCATCTTTCACCCGCCCCATCTTTCACCCGCCCCATCTTTCACCTGCTCCTGCTCTCACCTTGCGTAGGTCTCGGAAGGTGGCTGGGGAGGTAAGATCCAGCTCCCTGGTGCAATGGGGCGCAATAGGGCAATGGGACAGGAGGGAGGGGGGGGCGAGGGGGAAGGGGCGAGAGTTGGGGGGAGGGGTGAGATGTGAGAAACGGAGGGATGTGTAGGTATAGGAGATAAGGTGATGATTGAAAGCATAGGAGGTGCGTGCGGGAGGGGGAGGCGGCGAGAGTTGGGGGGAGGGATGAGATGTGAGGAACGGAGGGGCGTGTAGGTGTAGGAGATAAGGTGATGATTGAAAGCATAGGAGGTGTGTGCGGGAGGGTAGGGACTTGAAATGGAGAGACGTGTGAGATGGAGGGACGTGGGGAAGAGCAGCAGACAGGGGAGAAGAGAAAGAGGAGGGCGATGGGAAGGGGAAGGGGAGGGGGAGCAGGAAGGGGAGATGGAGGGGGCGGGGAGGGGAAGGGAAGGGGGAGGCGGCAAAGGGAGGGAGAGGGAGTGTCAGAAAGAGCAGGAACGAGCGAGACCGCACATACTTGGAGGTATAGTCCGCAATAACCCAAGGAAACACGGGGTATTGCGAGAGGTCGTTGAAGGAGCGGTTGGCCTCGCGGTTGAGGTACATGAGGTAGTCGAAGTTGGAGATGCCGCCACTCACCCACTCCCTCACCCACTTGTCCCTGCTGCGCATGCTCTCTATTGATAGCCCGGGCTGGTTGGGGGGGGGGGGGGGGGGAGGAGGAGGAGGGGGTAAAGAGAAGACAAGGCATAGGAAAGGAGGGACAGGGAGGGGGGGGGGGGGGGGGGGGGAGGGGAGGGGGAGGAGGGGGGAGGGGAGGGGGGGTGGGTGGGAGGGGAGTCTGTTCAAGTGAACAAACCCAAAGAAACAACGTACACAACGTGGAGCAGTCCTGGGCTGGCTGGCAATCGAGTCGAAAAACGAGTCGCCGTAACACAATCCGAACGCTGCGTTTTGGGACGCCTCAAAGCCTAAGTTAGCAGGACACACACAGTCTCACTCACCTGCTGCAGCAGCAGCGAATAGAACCGGGAGCAGTCCTGGGTTGATTTGAACGTGAAGTATATGCTGCCAGGGGAGCAGGCGGGGTAGGCGGGGGGAGGAAGGAGGGGGGCGGAAGAGAGGGAGAGGGGGCGCGGGATGAAGCCGTTGCTTAGCAACACAGCCCTGGGCTGTTGTGAACGTGAGTCAATGCTGCCAGGGGAGCAGGCGGAGGAAGGAGGAGAGAAGAGGAGGAAAGCGGTACACTGTGCAATGATGGGAGAGGGGACGAAAGGGTTGTGCAACACAAACAGCAATAACGTGGAAACGAGGGAGAGAGGGGGCTGGGCGGTACAGACATCAATCATGGGGAAGAACGGGGAAGAGGGCGAACCAGGGAAGAGGGCGAACCAGGGAAGAGGGCGAACCAGGGAAGAGGGCGAACCAGGGAAGAGGGCGAACCAGGGAAGAGGGCGAACCAGGGAAGAGGGCGAACCAGGGAAGAGGGCGAACCAGGGAAGAGGGCGAACCAGGGAAGAGGGCGAACCAGGGAAGAGGGCGAACCAGGGAAGAGGGCGAACCAGGGAAGAGGGCGAACCAGGGAAGAGGGCGAACCAGGGAAGAGGCGAACCAGGGAAGAGGGCGAACCAGGGAAGAGGGCGAACCAGGGAAGAGGGCGAACCAGGGAAGAGGGCGAACCAGGGAAGAGGGCGAACCAGGGAAGAGGGCGAACCAGGGAAAAGTGTGGGGTGGGAGGGCGTGGGGGAAAACAGATATAGAGGAGAGGAGTGAATAAGAAGGGAAAACGAGCAAGCAGGGGGGTGGAGGGGAAGAGGGAGCTACCTGGACCATTGTGAGTAGAAGATCTCCACTCCGATCTGCATGGGGGAGGATGGGTGGAAATGGGTGGAGATGGGTGTGACGGGGGTGGGGGAGATGGGCGTGATGGCAGCAAGGGGGAGGGGAATGGGGGAGCTGGTAGGTCAAAGAAAGTCATTACTTCTTGTGGCACATACAGATGGAGGGAAGGTGGAGATTAACCAGGTAAGGTAAGTAAGCACACGAGCTCGAACGGTGTAGCTCACCCCGACCAATGAGAGCACCCACGAAGCTCGAAACGATGAGGAGACCAGTTCTCAACAGCTCGCTCACCTCTTGGAGATGTGTGGATCGGCGCATGACAGCCGTGACGGTCCTAAGTGGATGCCGCACCACGGGACCGGCACAGAAGACACGACATTGAAGGGCTGGAAGTAGACGCTGTAGGGCGCGAGGATGATGCGACCCGGCTGCCGCTGGTGCAGCAGCAAACCCAAGTGCGTGTTCCTCTCTAACTAACCCTCGCTCACCTCTTGGAGATGTGTCGATCTCCGCATGACAGCCGTGACGGTCCGCAGAGGGTGCCGCACGACAGGCACGGACGAGACGACGTTGAACGGCTGGAAGTAGACGCTGTAGGGCGTGAGGATGATGCGACCCGGCTGCAGCACGAGGGGCAGCATCTGCGACCCCACCAGCTCCGCCACCACCCTGTCATCCCCCTCCTCCAGCCACCCCGGGTTGAACCTCACCTGTGGAAGGAGGGGGGGAGACGGGTGGGAAGAGGAGGGAAGGTGGGTTTGGAGAAAATGAGACCTGCTCCGCCACCACCCTGTCATCCCCCTCCTCCAGCCACCCCGGGTTGAACCTCACCTGGTGGTGGGGAGGGGAGGGATCAGGAGGGTGGGAAAGGAGAGGAAAGAAGGTGGGTGGGGGGAGGAGAGCAGGTGGGGAACGAGACCGGCAGAGGACATGATAACATGCAGCTGCCAGGGCTAGAAGTGCACTCTGTTCCCCCTAGAAGTGCACTCTGTTCCCCCTAGAAGTGCACTCTGTTCCCCCTAGAAGTGCACTCTGCTCCCCCTAGAAGTGGACTCTGTTCCCCCTAGAAGTGCACTCTGTTCCCCCTAGAAGTAGACTCTGTTCCCCCTAGAAGTGCACTCTGTTCCGTACACTCCCACCTCTAGAACAGGTGGGTGGGTGCACTCACTCCTCAACTCCCTCCCCGCCTTCCTCACTCCCCCCCCCCCTTTCCCTCCCCCCTCTCACCTCCTGCTCGTGCTCTTGCACAATCGCACTGAGCTTGCCCGGCTGCTCCCACGAGGGCCCCTGGGCGATGTCCAGCAGAGCCGACACGCGCGGCAGCACCGCCGCCAGCGACGTGTACAGCAGAGCAAAGGCAAAGGCGAAGTCGCCGCGGTGGTGGCGGTAGGGCGCGTGGCGGTTGCCCACCTTCACGTCTGTGCGCTCACTCGCACAGATGATCAGAAACTCCTCGCCCCTCTCTCCCCCCATGTGTGCCGCCCTGTTTGGGGGTGGTGGGTGCGGGAGGAAGGGGGGAGGGGGGAAGGAGGAGGGGAGGTTCGGGAAGGGAGCGGGAGGAGGGAGAGACGGGAGTGGCGAGAGAGGGAGAAGAGAGGTTGTGTTGATGAGGCATGAGGGGAGGGGAGTAACCCGGTGGTGGCGGTAGGGCGCGTGGCGGTTGCCCACCTTCGCGTCTGTGCGCTCACTCGCACAGATGATCAGAAACTCCTCCCCCCTCTCTCCCCCCATGTGCGCCGCCCTGGGGGGTGGGGGGAAGGGGAGGGGGGTGCGGGGGGGAGGGTGGGTGGGGCAGACAGAGAGGAACCCAACAAGCTCACTCGCACAGATGATCAGAAACTCCTCCCCCCTCTCCCCCTCCATGTGCGCCGCCCTGCAGGGTGTAGAGGGAGAGTGGGGGAAGAAGGGGAGAGGAGGGCCGGTCCGGGAAGGGAACGCGAGGAGGGAGAGGCGGGAATAGGGAGGGACGTGAAAGGAGAGAGAGAGGAAGAAGAGGTGGTGGCGGTGAAGAGGGGAGGGGAGGAGAACAAAGCAAACGCGAAGGCGAAGTGGCCCCTGTTGTTGCGGTAGGACGAGAGGTGGCAGCCCACCACCTTTCCATGGGTTCAGCTCACTCGCATGGGTCCAGGAAGGGAAAGGGGGGAGGGAGAGACAGGCCATGCGGCATGCCCAGTCAGTGCCCACGCCTTTCGAGGCGCCTCAAAAGTCATGCCCAGTCAGTGCCCACGCCTTTTGAGGCGCCTCAAAAGTCATGCCCAGTCAGTGCCCACGCCTTTCGAGGCGCCTCAAAAGTCATGCCCAGTCAGTGCCCACGCCTTTTGAGGCGCCTCAAAAGTCATGCCCAGTCAGTGCCCACGCCTTTTGAGGCGCCTCAAAAGTCATGCCCAGTCTGTGCCCACGCCTTTTGAGGCGCCTCAAAAGTCATGCCCAGTCTGTGCCCACGCCTTTTGAGGCGCCTCAAAAGTCATGCCCAGTCTGTGCCCACGCCTTTTGAGGCGCCTCAAAAGTCATGCCCAGTCTGTGCCCACGCCTTTTGAGGCGCCTCAAAAGTCATGCCCAGTCTGTGCCCACGCCTTTTGAGGCGCCTCAAAAGTCATGCCCAGTCAGTGCCCACGCCTTTCGAGGCGCCTCAAAAGTCATGCCCAGTCAGTGCCCACGCCTTTTGAGGCGCCTCAAAAGTCATGCCCAGTCAGTGCCCACGCCTTTTGAGGCGCCTCAAAAGTCATGCCCAGTCAGTGCCCACGCCTTTCGAGGCGCCTCAAAAGTCATGCCCAGTCAGTGCCCACGCCTTTTGAGGCGCCTCAAAAGTCATGCCCAGTCAGTGCCCACGCCTTTCGAGGCGCCTCAAAAGTCATGCCCAGTCAGTGCCCACGCCTTTCGAGGCGCCTCAAAAGTCATGCCCAGTCAGTGCCCACGCCTTTCGAGGCGCCTCAAAAGTCATGCCCAGTCAGTGCCCACGCCTTTCGAGGCGCCTCAAAAGTCATGCCCAGTCAGTGCCCACGCCTTTCGAGGCGCCTCAAAAGTCATGCCCAGTCAGTGCCCACGCCTTTCGAGGCGCCTCAAAAGTCATGCCCAGTCAGTGCCCACGCCTTTCGAGGCGCCTCAAAAGTCATGCCCAGTCAGTGCCCACGCCTTTCGAGGCGCCTCAAAAGTCATACCCAGTCAGTGCCCACGCCTTTTGAGGCGCCTCAAAAGTTATGCCCAGTCAGTGCCCACGCCTTTTGAGGCGCCTCAAAAGTCATGCCCAGTCAGTGCCCACGCCTTTCGAGGCGCCTCAAAAGTCATGCCCAGTCAGTGCCCACGCCTTTCGAGGCGCCTCAAAAGTCATGCCCAGTCAGTGCCCACGCCTTTCGAGGCGCCTCAAAAGTCATGCCCAGTCAGTGCCCACGCCTTTCGAGGCGCCTCAAAAGTCATGCCCAGTCAGTGCCCACGCCTTTTGAGGCGCCTCAAAAGTCATGCCCAGTCAGTGCCCACGCCTTTCGAGGCGCCTCAAAAGTCATGCCCAGTCAGTGCCCACGCCTTTTGAGGCGCCTCAAAAGTCATGCCCAGTCAGTGCCCACGCCTTTCGAGGCGCCTCAAAAGTCATGCTCAGTCAGTGCCCACGCCTTTCGAGGCGCCTCAAAAGTCATGCCCAGTCAGTGCCCACGCCTTTCGAGGCGCCTCAAAAGTCATGCCCAGTCAGTGCCCACGCCTTTCGAGGCGCCTCAAAAGTCATGCCCAGTCAGTGCCCACGCCTTTCGAGGCGCCTCAAAAGTCATGCCCAGTCAGTGCCCACGCCTTTCGAGGCGCCTCAAAAGTCATGCCCAGTCAGTGCCCACGCCTTTCGAGGCGCCTCAAAAGTCATGCCCAGTCAGTGCCCACGCCTTTCGAGGCGCCTCAAAAGTCATACCCAGTCAGTGCCCACGCCTTTTGAGGCGCCTCAAAAGTTATGCCCAGTCAGTGCCCACGCCTTTTGAGGCGCCTCAAAAGTCATGCCCAGTCAGTGCCCACGCCTTTCGAGGCGCCTCAAAAGTCATGCCCAGTCAGTGCCCACGCCTTTCGAGGCGCCTCAAAAGTCATGCCCAGTCAGTGCCCACGCCTTTCGAGGCGCCTCAAAAGTCATGCCCAGTCAGTGCCCACGCCTTTCGAGGCGCCTCAAAATTCATGCCCAGTCAGTGCCCACGCCTTTTGAGGCGCCTCAAAAGTCATGCCCAGTCAGTGCCCACGCCTTTCGAGGCGCCTCAAAAGTCATGCCCAGTCAGTGCCCACGCCTTTCGAGGCGCCTCAAAAGTCATGCCCAGTCAGTGCCCACGCCTTTCGAGGCGCCTCAAAAGTCATGCCCAGTCAGTGCCCACGCCTTTCGAGGCGCCTCAAAAGTCATGCCCAGTCAGTGCCCACGCCTTTCGAGGCGCCTCAAAAGTCATGCCCAGTCAGTGCCCACGCCTTTCGAGGCGCCTCAAAAGTCATGCCCAGTCAGTGCCCACGCCTTTCGAGGCGCCTCAAAAGTCATGCCCAGTCAGTGCCCACGCCTTTCGAGGCGCCTCAAAAGTCATGCCCAGTCAGTGCCCACGCCTTTCGAGGCGCCTCAAAAGTCATGCCCAGTCAGTGCCCACGCCTTTCGAGGCGCCTCAAAAGTCATGCCCAGTCAGTGCCCACGCCTTTCGAGGCGCCTCAAAAGTCATGCCCAGTCAGTGCCCACGCCTTTCGAGGCGCCTCAAAAGTCATGCCCAGTCAGTGCCCACGCCTTTTGAGGCGCCTCAAAAGTCATGCCCAGTCAGTGCCCATGCCTACCTGTCAACAGCGGACACGCAGCCAAAGGGAATGCGGAACACGGGCTCCAGAGTGCTCTTGGGCACAAACAATATCGACCCGCTGCACAGCTTCAGGTGCTCTGGAACCCGTATCCACATACTGAGACAACTCGCAAAACACCCACACCCAAACGCACTCAGGCCCCCACATATGTCATGCCCAGTGCCCGTGCCGTGCCTACCTGTCAACAGCCGACACGCAGCCAAAGGGAATGCGAAAGACAGGTTCCAGAGTGCTCTTGGGCACAAAGAATATCGACCCGCTGCACAGCTTCAGTCAGGTGCGTCGGGACTCAAAATTCTATCCAATGTCTGAGACGTCACACAATCGTCTACACACACACCCACATGCACTCAGACCCCCACACATGCCCACCTGTCAACAGCCGACACGCAGCCAAAGGGAATGCGGAACACAGGTTCCAGAGTGCTCTTGGGCACAAAGAATATCGACCCACTGCACAGCTTCAGGTGCCCCTGCACCCGCTGCGTGCCGCCGTTGGGGTAATAATTACACGCGTAGTCCTTAAAATAGTACTCCCCTTCCTCTAGCAGCAGTAGATTGAACCTATCCGGGCCTTCTATGACTAGTTTCTGACTGTTTTGATCCCCGCCTTTGCCTCCCCCTGCGCCTCCGCCTCCCTCCCCCGCACCTCCGCCTTTCCCCCCGAACAACCCCCCTGCCCCCGCCCCATGCAGCATCCGGGACAGCATGCGCGCGCTGCTTCCGCCCTTCCCCCCTCCCCCCGCGCCTCCCGCTCCGCCAGTACCTTCCTTCCGCCTAGGACTCGGCATCCCCTTAACCGTAATCTTTCTGCGCCGCGGGGAAGCATATTTGGGCAACGGGGGGGTCCCTGTGGGCCTTTCCGCACCCGCTCCCCCTGATCCCCCGAACCCCCCGAGCCCCCCAAGTCCCCGGAATCCGCCTCCCCCGCCTACGCTGCGCGTGCTGCTGCTTCCGCCGTCGCTAGGCGTGGGGAGGGGCAAATCGTCCGCTCCCCCTCCCTCTTCAGGGGGGATTTCTACATACAGTTGCTCGGCGCGCATTCTTCCCTGCCTTCGTCGCTGCTGCTGCTGCTGCCGCCGCTGCCACCCCTCCCCTCCACTCATCCCATCCTCACTCCCCCCTATGCCTTCTGACTCCTCCCCATCCGTCCCCTCTGTCCCCTCAGTACCCGTCTCACCGTCCTCCCCTTCCTCTCTTTCATCTACGCTCGATTCTGACTGGGAGTGGTGGTACCTCAACGGACTGGATTGCATCATGGGGCTGCCGGAGTGCATCGACGGACTAGATTGTCTCAGCGGGCTGTGCATCAACGGACTCAATTGCTTCAAAGGACTGCCAGAGAAAAACCGACCGCCTCGCTCCTGCTCCTTCTGCTTCCACTGCTGCCGCCCCAGCATCTGCCACTGCTGCTGCTGCCCCGCCTGCTGCCCCTCTTCCTCCTCCTGCTCCTGCTTCTCCTCCTGCTCCTGCTGCTCTTGCTGCTGCTGCTCCTGCTGCATCTGCTGCTTCTGGTCCTTCGCAGCTTTCCTCTGTTTCATCATCTTGAAAATTGACATCTTTCCAACTGCTTCCAGCCCCGACCGTGACCTTATCGCCGGTTCTGACTCTGACCGCGGGATTTCCATGGGGTGGCCCACTCCCGCGCCCTCCTCCTCCTCGCCCCCCTCTTCCCCCTCCTCCCCCTCCGCCTCCTCCGCCTCCCCCGCCCTCCTCTCCTCCTCCTCGTCCCGCCCCCCACCCGCACTAGAACGACCAGACATACTGCCTTCCGCCGCTATTCCTAACTCCCCAACACCACCAGCAGCACCACCATCAGCAGAACTACCACCTCCAGCACCTTCAAAACCCACGCTCCCGCTGCTATTCCGCCTCCCGCTCCTTCTCCGCCTGTGCTGCTTCTTCCCCTCGTTACTGTCACCTCCTCCCTCCTCCTCCACCTGACGCAGCGCCAGCTGGATGTTCCATGCTGGCGCTGACGTGGTCCTACTCAGCCGCCTCAATCCCCCAATCCCCATCCCCCCGCTTCCATTCGCGCTTGCGCCTGCGCCTGCGCCGAGCCCCACTCCCCCACTTCCGATCAGCCCAAACAGCCCCCCCCCGCTATTGGCGCCGTCCCCGCTTCCCCCCCATGACCCGATACCAACCCCTCTGCGCCCAGAGCACCCGGAAAACAGGGGAGAATTTCCTTCCTCTTCCCCTTGCCCTTCTAATTCCCCTAACCGTTCCCCCTCCCCCTGCGCTTCCGCGTCAGCAGAGGAGATGGAAGCGGAAATGCTTTCGTCCCCGCCCAACGATCGGCGGAAGAAGAAAAAATTCGGGCTGGGAGTGCGCCGGTGGGGGCGGAAGGGGGAGGAGGAGGAGAAGGGGGAAGCGGACGTGCGGGGGGGAACGCCCCCTCCCCCTCCGGTATCGGCAATCCCGGCGGAAAGACTGGCATCCCTGGCATGTCGGAAAAGGCCTGCGCTAGCTCCAGTTCCCGCGCTAGGCACGCCGGCGGAGGCAGAGGCGGAAGCGGACGCGGAAGCGGACTCGGGGAGATCTTGAAGCTCCTCCGGATGACTGGAGCCGGCGGACGGGCAGGGGGAAGACGACGCGGTTCCGCCTTGACTTCCCCCATGGCCTCCGCTGGCACTTCCCCAAGGTCCCGGCGGGGGTAATCGCGCAGAAACTACGCCTTTCTCCGACGACGATCGGGGGAAGAAGGATCGGCGGATGACAGATCTGCCTGCGGACTCCCTTACCGTACGATGCGATCCCGAGGCCGCATCCGACGACGTTCCTTGAATCCCGCCGGCTGGTCCGGAATCGCCTGTAGGTCTAGGTGGTAAATCAAAAGACCGTGGCGCGGGCCCCGTTAGGGCGGGTCCGGACGGCGCATCTAAGCACCTAGCCGCCGCGGTGGTGGGTCGGGGGGGATTGGCGGAAGCGAACCCTAATCCTGCGCAAGAGCCGGCACCACTGGCTGCGGAGTCACGAACAGAGGGAGCAGCTACTGTGGGTGTGGCTGCTAGGGTTGCTGTCACAGCGTCTGCCGATACTGCTTCTGCTGCCTCTGCTGCTGCTCGTGGCTCTCTCGTTTCAGCTTCGGACGCTCCCGACGCAGCTGCAGAGGCTCGGCTCTGCCAGCTGTCGCTCGGACCAGACTGAGAGGAAGTCGGGACGGCGGCCATGGAACTGGCGTAAGTGGAGTGCGACGCGTCAGGAACGAGTGAAACGAAGTAGCGTGTTGAACTCTAGGGCTGATCTTGCAATGTACGAGTCTGGCGTTTGAACGAGCTGATAAGGGTAACCCTAATCGTCGCTGTCGTCGTCGTCGTCGCTTTCAAGGGAGAACATGATTGGGAATTAAGGCAAAGACCCAGGCAACTAAGGACGCCGAAAGGGTACAAAATGGCGGTAACCAAACGATTACAGCTGAATGCACTGACCTAATGAATCGGAAACTGAAGGTAAACACACTATGTCGTTTTCTTTGGGTTAACACGTTCTTCTAAACGTCGTGCCTTGAAAGCGGATGCGTATTATCACGAAACCTAACGAGCATTGCGAGTCTGTTTCGACGTATCATGCAATACAACTGGTCAACATACGTTCCTGGGGAAGCTATGTTAGATAAGATGGATTATGACAGTCACTACCAGACAAGTTAGAGTTGAGCGGTGTTGACGTAGCAATAGGCGAGCATCATAAAGCTCAGCTCCATGTGGTTGCTAAAAATGAGTCAGCCGAGCAAAGCAGGCAGCCATGATTTATGCTAAGGCACGACAGCCATCAGCCATTCCACAGAATCATCTGCCCTGGATGCCTCGGTTGTATCCCGCACCGAGCCAGTATCAAACCAGTGCCGAACCAGTGTTGAAACTGGCTATGGAAGGCACAGGGGTTAGGAAAGAGGTGAGGAGATAGGTCAACACCTCTGAGGCTGACCGAGCCAAATAGTACCGCCACTCAGTGCGAACACCGGAACACCAAACCAAAACATTCCATTGAAGTTGGTGCTTCACCAACCTCATCCCTTGGTTTGGTTTGGGACCATACCGAAAGGTACAGTTGTGGGAAGAGATGAGATGAGCAAGCCTCCCTCCCTTCCTTCTCCCAGCCAGCCGGGCGCCAGGCCATCCCAGTGATGCCACACTCGAGTCAGCGACAAGCGAGCCTGAGGCGAGTCACTGTCGCTCGCACGGTGACTGTGCGACTATCCTCCCCTCCACATCGGTCGAGAGCGTGCGAAAGAAATCGAGCAGAGTAACCAGTTTCGTCTACGTTTGGATAACCTACGACTTCCTGGCACATGGAAATGACGGGAAGCGAACTTCGTCGTACTCCACAGCCAGATAGTATTCCAGGCTGGCGTGAAGGTTTTTTTACGGAGATACACGCGAATGATTGTCTTGCTTGTGATTCGCCCTGGCGTTTCTGCAGGCAGACGACAGGGAAGGGGACAAAATATGTCGAAATGCCAGCCTGGAAAACAGAAGCAAACAAGCATCCATTCCACATATGAACTGATGTCAGACAGAAATCTGGAATCCCCTGAAGATCAGTCAACACTCTTCATAGCATTTTAATAAGGCCCTTATGATATTTAAGCCATAAGACCATCTCATACAATGACACATCTCCCAAATTGCTTCCTGGAAAAACCTTGACCAGAGAGAAACTGGGTAGCATGACATTACTACACGTGTCATGGCGTTGAACCGGACCATGGGCTAAAGTGGGTCTGTGGCTCGGTCCACCAGCATATAATGGTACTTCTTGTCAGAATGAGGAATGGATCTTGCATTGATGTTGGTTGGGGTACATATGACAAACCCTAACTTCTGTACCCCCTAAGACAAACCTCACTACAGGCTACAACATTTGACACACCCCCATAGCCTAAGTGAGGGGTGTATAGTAAAAACAAAAAAGAGTACGGTCACAAGACCAGTCCAAAAGAAAACAGAGCTCAGGGTGGATCACAACGTCACCACACACTCTGAGCACAAGCAACAGTGGCCACAAGGCCAGTCCAAGAGATCACAAGTATATATAGTAAGTGTACAGACGAAGCAGGCAATAAACTCAAGTCTACGCATGACTAGAACCTGTGTCAACAAGGCCTAACTGCACACAACACCTCTGGTGGTCACAAGGCGGAAGCGCCTTGGTGAAGATGTCTGCAGTGTTGGCCTCGGACTCTACAAACTCGAAGCGAGCCTGTCCACGCCTCTGCAACTCTCGCAGAAGAAAGTACCTGACGTGAATGTGCTTCACTCTGCTCTCCAGTCGCGGCTCACGACAGAGGAGGATCGACGCCTTGTTGTCAGTAAACAAGGTCGGTGCAGAGTTCGGCCGCTCACCAAGGTCGGCGAGCAAGAAGGTCAACCACCGTAACTCCTGTGCCGCCATGGCACCAGCGTAAATCTCAGCCTCAGCTGTAGAGGTCGAGACAGAAGAGGAGCGCGTGGAACGCCAGGAAACAGCTCCAGAACCCAGACTGAAACAGTACCCCTGAGTAGACCTGTGAGTCTCAGCGTCGTCAGCGTAAGAGGAGTCACAGTGACCAGTGAGTACGACAGACTGCTGCCCTCCAAGAACTAGCCCCACGCCTGATGTAGTCGCTAGGTACTTCGCCACCCTCACAGCTGCCGTCCAGTGAACAGGACGGTGTCTCCCTGGCGCAACAAAGCGCGCAAGGATGCTGAGAGGGAAGGCGAGGTCCGGGCGAGTACAAGTCATCAGGTACATGAGGCAACCCACAAGCTCTGCGTAGGGACCACTAGGCTCAAACGGCTCGTCAGGAAAGGGACCAGTGAGTCTGTGGTCAACAGCTAGAGGTGTGCGCTGTACGGTGGAGTGCTGAAGCCCGAACCGCTGAAGGACCTGCTGCACCATGTGTGACTGTGAGAGTGTAATGGTGCGAGCGGCTCTGTCCCTGGTGATCTGCAGGCCAAGGTAGTGGCGCAGCTCACCAAGATCAGTGCACGTGTGTCTCTTCTGCAGTTCGGACTTCACGTCTGCCAAAGCAACCCTGTCCGAAGTGGCGAAAACGAGGTCGTCGACGTAGACCAGAACAAAGAACGGTGTGGAGCCACGACGAACGAACAGCGACGGGTCGGCAGAAGACGGCTGGAACCCAAGGTCAGAGAGGGTAGAACGCAGAGTGTCGTGCCACTCACGAGGGGCCTGGCGAAGACCGTAAACAGGTCGCCTCAGCCTCCACTGGGTCCCAGGAGGGAAGGTGCCAGTGAAGGCCGAGGGACGACGCAAC